TCAAATTCAAAATTGACACCATCAACCCATTTATTTAAAATAAATATTTTATCTATTTTCTAGTTTGTATGGTAACAAAAAATTAATACTAAATTAACATATTTAACATGGATTCAATTAAGTGAAAATATAATATTAGTGTTAAATTTTTTATTCAAAGTTTATGTGGGTTAACACAAATACGAATATGAACCCGATACGAAAATAAACAGATCAACTTGACATGATACAATTAATTAAATGAGTTGAGTGCGATTTGACAAATGTTCAACACAAATTCGTAATGACTCAACACGATTCGATTGTCACTCCTAATCTTAATCAGTACAAAAAAAAATAATTATTTTTATTTTCTATCTATTCTATTAAACACAAAGGAATAAAAATATTTTATTTTTACTTTCCTTTTAATAATAAAAAATTTAACCTTCTTATTTTCTATTATTTCTACCGAACATAGCATTAAGAGAAATTTAATAAAATGTAATCATCTACTCATGTGACAGGCTGATGCCTGTCTGTCCGTTCCATCCCTTGCATCATGTATTAATTTTTTACTTTATTCTTTTTTTTTTTTAATTTTTAATTTTTAATTTTCTACTTTATTTTTTTGGTCTGAAAACAAAAAAAATGCTAAACAGCAATGTTTTCTAGTAAAAGGTGATATAGTCCAAAGAAAGGCCAGATTAATCTAAAAATCAAAATTTTATTTTAGTGTATTATTTTGGACATCTAAAAATAGAAAACGTTTTGACAAGTTTCAAAGATAGAATGAAAAACGGACAAAAAATTTGACAATTATTTTTTCAAAATATTTGTTAAAATATACCAAAAAATTTCAAAACACTTTGAAACATTTCAAAACAATTGTGTAAATGAGTAGAAACATTATGAAATATCTTGAAACATTATAAAACACTTCGAAATATTAGAATTTTGATTTTATCAATAATTCATTTCAGTTTCTTTATAAACAAAAATCTTTCAATTGTTTCAACCGTTTTCAAAATTTTAATCCGTAGATTAATCTCCCCTTTCGTTTTAGATAGATAAATGACTAAAATCTCTCTCAATGTGTTTTCAATTTGATTTTCTCCATTATTCTTGAAGATAAGTTCATCACCACGCACGCATTCAAAGGAGACTAATTTACTAAAAAGTGAATTGAAAGATACCTAAACCCTGTGATTTATATGTTAAATCATCTTATTTAATTAGCTTACATTAGTAGAAATTTTTTTATCGAAATTATACTCTATTAATGGCCAAAAAGCTTCTTTTTTTTTTTTTGGACTAATTAGAGAGTTATTACTTTTATATGGGTATGTATAAAAAAAGCTGATACTTTTTTTATTATTACGACCAACTTAACAGAATCGATTATTATTTATATTTTTGGTTGATTGGACTATAAAGTCTTTCAAAATGTTTTTGATAAAAACTACAAAGCCCATGGGTTGGGTAAGGTGGTTGTCGGGTCCATATGTTATCCACTGTGACTACACAACACGGGTCTGTCATGGACTACCAAATACCAATCGCCAATTCCGGAAAGACAACCACACATGTGGGTCCCAATGTGTTCCCTACTCAGTCATCAGGTTGGGCCCACAGGTGCCATGTTTCTATGTGTTGTATCCTTTTACGTGACCTTTTTCGTTCATTGATTTTATTTTAGATAATTTTAATTTATTAATTTAAATAAAAATAAAAAAATATACGGGACATGTTTTTCATGGTTAATAAATAAATATACAATATCTAAAAAGAGCAAAATATTACACAAATTTAAAATATTGACTTGATTAATTATTGTCATTGATTTAGTTATGGATCTCAACATTTATTATTATTTATTATCTATTTAATGATTATGATTTATTAAATTAATAAATCAATAAATCAAGTCAAATTTTTAAATACAAATAACATTTCTTATCAAAAAAAAAAAAAACAAGGATTACATTGAAGTGCAATAGGTCATGATGATTTGTCTTACTACATTACCAAGTAGATTATACATATTTTTAATTATATCAGGTTAGGTAAATGTTCGCAAAACTCATGTCATTATACCGGGATAATAACGAACGTCAATTTCTCTATCCTAGGACAGTAACATGTGTCAATTTCATTGCCTTGAAATAGTGAAATACCTTAACGTTATTGTCTTGGGATAGTGGCAAACACTAGTTTGACTAACATAGGATAATGACAAATACAAATTTCATTTCTTAAAAAATATAAAATGATTTGCCGTCGTTATGGATCCGAAGAACACATGCTAGTGATGGTTTTGCACAACTCATGTTGATGAAGCCACGTTAACAATGCTTGTTGGCTTCATTGGGGATGAACCCATTCCATGGTTGTGATCAATTGAAGGAAGAGAGTTGAGAGAGAAGAATTAAAGAATAAGAGAGGGAAGAGAATGAGTTGAATAGAAGAATTTAAATATGGGATACAAGTGAGAGAAGGACAAAAAATAGATGATAGAGGGTAATTGAAGAAAGAGAGATGAAGTTAAATAAAAGTGGGATGGAAGAGAGAGAAGAGAAATGAGGGGGATGGAAGTGAGAGGAGAGAAAGAAAAACTTAAATAAGAGATAGAAGAGAGAATGACCGAAGAAAGAGGAGAAATAAAGAGTAAGAGTGAAGAATAAAATTAAAGGGTATTCTTGTCATTAATAATATTAAAATTAAAAATTGTGGACCACACACCTCATACATTATACACACATGTCCTTAATGATTTAAAAAATATATGTTTGTACTTATTAACAAAAAAAAAATATAGAATATACCGACTTTCAATTTTCACATTATACTTGACGTATTGGTTTGTTGAGACAACCCGACTAGTAGGATTATGGCCCATTAAAGTGGGCCACCATTATTAGCTCCTCAAATTCATTTCTTTTGAAATAAATTAACCATTGGACTGTCGATTTTACATTGTCTATGTGAGAAGATGACTCACTATTACAAATACAATATATGAATTTTACAACAAAGTTTGAACGATTCATGGTATCACGATACATATCTTTCGTTAAATCTTTGGCCCACAATATATCACTATTACAAAGACGTTTAAACGAGTGTCACATCTAAAAGAAAAGCAGAAGTCCCAAAACAAAGGGACAAAAAAGAATAAAAAAAAAAATCTAAAAATTGACAAGAGATATATAATCAATTAATTAACGGGCGATGGTATTTTGAGCATAATAATCGAGAAGTTCGAAATAAATTATTAGTGATTGGTGGAAGAATAATTGTTTGCTATGGTTACAATGTCAATTTCAAGTGACTTCCACATAGGAAACAAGATGGCAATAGGACCTAGAAGGGCATGACTTTAACTTTAATAGTCAACATGCCTCTCATTCTTCCAAAGGTTGAGAATTTCACCTCTCTTCTCAAACAATGTTAAAATGCCCCTTCCTGCAAGTTTTGTTGATTTCTAGACCCAAGTGGGAACACAAGAATGAGGTTTTTTTGGCAAAGTTTTGAACCTTTTTGTCAAGTTTGTTGGTTGATCAATCCTTACCACTAAAATTCAAGTGAGATTTACCATATATAACTAATTTGCAATACATTTACTATCATTTTTAAAAATAAAGAAAAAAAATAGCCAAAAGGGATGTGAATATATGCTATTAACTCTATTTTCACTACAAGAAAAAGTATTTTTGGCATTGACATCAAAAGTCCATTTCCATTGCAAAAAGTATTTTAAGCATATTTTACTAAACATCATATAGATATTGCATGAGCCCAAAAAAGATGAACTAACCTAAGTCCAAGCACCACCTTTATAAGACCATAATCTTTAGAGGAGTGAATGAAATCTTATCGGTCAACCTAAACTTCTTATTGCAATCGATGTGAAATTTTAGTTAATTTTTTTTATGAACACGCATAAAAAAAATACATGCATATTTTAAACCTACTTTACCCGATTCCAAGCACAAACAAGTTCCCCACCCACACTAATTTGGAGCAAAGTGAGAGCTGCCAATTGCAAAGACCAGTAGCCAAAAGATACCACAGGAGAGTACACCCTTCCCAAATTAAATAACCTTGTCCATCTTCATGACCTCAATTAATGTCTTTTTCTTCCTGTCATTAATGTAGGGATTAATGGCGTTACAATTCCTCTATAAGTACCTGCATGCAGGTAAACAGCATAAGTGCATCATTATTGCAACATACTAGTACATCACAATATACATTTGCAACATATTGTGGGTGATATTTTCTTTAATATATTTTTATTTCAATTTTTTTTTTGGGGGTAAATTATCTAACATGAATATAAGTGAGACTTATTATATATAAAGTGTGAGTCTCTTATCGATGTATCGTGAATAATCTATTCAAAAAAAAAAATGTATTTGCTACAACTTACCATACTATCGTGTCATGTAATACTTTTGTACACATCAAGATAACACTTTACCATCTTGAAGTACCAAGATTTATCTAAGTAAAATTCACTATATTTAATTTAAAGGTTACATTACGTTAGTATTATTAAATGGTGTAATTATTTAATTATAAATTGCCAAATATGCAAGCGAACCCCACAAAATTTAATAATTATCCATGTAAAAAGGTAGAGTAATTTTTGTTCACATGTTTGTTTATTAATAGATGATTACGTTGCATGGTAATTTTAATTTGGTATAACTGTTATACTGAATATTTACTCCGCACGCCCCGGTTATTCACTTACACCTGCGTTTTGATCAATCAGACACGTGTCACACATCGACGGGTCAACCTTTGGACTTGACGACCATAGTCAAGATTCAATAACCCTAAACAAACCAATAGCCATTACTGTCTTCTCTCTCTCTCCCTCCATTTATTTGACCTTTTTATTCTTCACCTCTCTCCAGGTTTCAAACCTCTCTATTGTCGCCTCTCCTGTTTACTTTTTCTAAGTATATCATCATCTTTATCATTTCTTCTTCTTCATTTTACCTGCAACTTTTATGGAGGTTTGTCCTGCAAGCTCTTTGGAGTTAACCATATCTGTACCTGGCTTCTCATCATCTCCATCTCTTCTGTCCTCCGGTAAGCAACAAGCTATCATGCTCTCTCTTTCTGTCTCTCTCTGCCTCTATCTTTTTCTTCTTCCCCTTCTTTTTGGTGGGTGTTTTGGGTTTGATCGATGTTTGGCCCTTTCCTGATCATACATGTTGGTCTTCTATCGTTTCGATGAGAAATTTTCAGAGATTATGGCGTCTGTATCGTAGTAAACTTCTATATTGCTGTAATTCGTTCTAATTTTATTTTAAACTTTAAAGTGTACGATCTTCTATATTCTTTCTTACATGGGACTTTGTCTGGTCAATTTATTTTGATCAATTTTTCCGGGTCCAAACAAGATTGATATTTAATGGATGATCCTTTTGTAACTTTTATAGAGATGGGTTTGACTTTGATCTTTACAGTTTTTTCAAATTTTTTTTTTCTGAATATAAACAAATCATTTATGAAGGAGAAGGCAGTGGTCTAATGAGAGACTTGGACATAAACCAAGTACCCAATGGAGGCCCTTCCAGAAAGAAACTCCGTCTCACTAAGGAACAGTCTCGTTTCCTTGAAAAAAGCTTCAAACAAAACCACACCTTGAACCCTGTAAAACTCTCTCTCTCTCTCTCTCTCTCTCTCTCTCTATGCATGATCTCTATCTAATCCTTTCGGGCATGTCTTGATGCAGAAAGAGAAGGAGGCTTTGGCGATACAATTGAGACTAAAGCCAAGGCAAGTTGAGGTCTGGTTTCAAAACCGTAGAGCAAGGTACTGTAATGAACTTTAAGTTTAACAATAGTTGAATTAAATGGTGTGTTTGTCCCCTCATAATGGTATTGGTAGTTGGGGTTAAAGTAGCAGAGAACATTAGATATACATTCAGAATATCGCCAAGTATATAATCGAATCAGATTCTATGGCATATAGATATTATATAATACTACCATGTTTGATAGTTGAAGGAAAGGTCAATGATTTAGGCACCCATTGTTTTGGCAAATGGCTCACAGGAGGGAGGGACCAAGTACCCTAATTCTAGAGCAAAAGGTAATGAATACTTTAGGAAACAAACACTGCTTAAACCTTTTATATGCTTGTATGCAAGTACTTATACCATTTATCATGTTACTATGTGTATCTATATGCTACATTTGTCAACGTTCTAATAAAAGCAAATTTTTAAAGTTATTTTTGCAGAAGTGACTACAAAAGTAATGATAAAGTGATTCAATCTAGTGAGGTTATGACAAAATAAGATTTTTTGATGTCACTGCTAATAGTTTCAGATTATGTCACTGCTAATAGTTTTTTTTGAAGGGTTAATAGTCATCAGATCATGATGCTAATGAATGCCAGTTTAACCAGTTTGTGTTGGATCCGCAATGTCTAAGCACGTGAGTCAATGAATATGTTAATCTAATCAAATAGTAGTTATAATGTGTCATTAATTTTATGTTACATCCACTTAACTCGTATGTGACTGATAACATGTAACATTAGGGATGTTAATATTGTACACCGTGTGATTCATTTCGTCTTAAATTTTGCTCAATCCATACCAATACCATCTGTATTTGTATAAATGCAAAGTTGAGTCGTGTATAACCATGTTTAGTAGAGTACTTGTGTTTATCTCGGATTTGTTGTCTGGCTGATAAGTCCGTGACAGATTTTTTTATTTATCACTTGAATCCGCTAAGGCTTAACCAAAATATGTTAACTCGGTGCTATTTTCGTGTTGGGTAACCAAGGGTTGTTAGAATTGCAGGGTCTCATTAACATATTTATAGGCCAAATGTAGGAGAATCATTGCAATATTTATGAACCAAACCTTGGAGAGTAATAATTCACTGTTATCACTCTTTTGTGTAGTAATAATTACAAGTACCTTTTCCTTCTGGAATTGACATTTCTAGAATCATTTACTTCATGCTATCATATTGATGCAGTGATGTTGTACTTGAAAACTTCGTAAAATTGCATTTACCAGGTTCACTATGAGAATTAAAGGATACCCTAGAAAGCCAGGACGAAAAGTTATGGAGTGGAGCTTCCACAAGTGGCAGTGGCTCATCTTCATTGCCACCAGATCTATCACATCCATTGTCTTGAGCCATAAAAATGAAACAATCCAACATATACTTTTGCCTATACACTCATGTCAATTATTAGATTACAAGTGAGTTTTATATAATATCGAAACCATAATTAATCTAACAATTACATTAAATTTAGTCTTATAACATCGCTCGTGTTGAAATGCTGGAGAGAGCTATGCAATCGATACCCCATTACTTGTCTCAAGACAATCTTTTGCCCAAAAGGTCTTAGAAGCGTAGTATATCCCAAAAGGTCTTAGAAGCGTAGTATATCGAGCTGACTGGAATTGGATGGCCTTAAGGGTGTAGACGTGTAGTGACCCGAGGTCTCAAGTTTGAATGCTTAACTTACAAAATGTGCATAGTTTACAAGTAATTACAACCATTCGGAATTTGTATAGTACCCATTTAAACCAGAACGTACAAAAGTGGGATGATTCTTTGTCACAAAAAAGGCAAAAAAAAAAAAAATAATAATAATAAAAAATAGAAAAGAGTATATAAAGAACAACTAGGCAATGAGTGTCATGAGACCAACTAGCAATATTAAATGACATGGTTGAAAAGTTGCCAGGTAAATTAAGATGCTCTACAAACTTAGGTATACAACTGTTAAATTGTATTAGTAATGTTGTAAAGACATAAAGAATTGACATAATTCGTTAACTTAATGATATAACAGTGATGTGGTCTAATAGTGTTGTTATGACTATAATTGTAGTTATGTCGGTAAATTATGTTAGTTGTTTAGGTACTAATAGTATTACTCAAATTCTATTACCTGATGCAATGTTGTTTTGGAAATACAATAGGGGCAAGCTGAAGCACACAGAAATGGAATGCCAGTACTTAAAGAGATGGTATGGTTCACTAACTGAACAAAGCAGGAGGCTACAAAAGGAGTTAGAAGAGCTAAGGGCCATGAAAGTAGGCCCGCCCACCTTGATATCTCCGCACAGTCGAGTGGCCCTTCCGGCATCCACCCTCACCATGTGCCCCCGGTGTGAGCGCGTTACCACCACCATCCCAGACAAGGGCCCATCGAAAACCACCACCACCACCACCCCCGCAACCAACCCCGCCACCTTGTCTGCCAAAGTGCCCATCCTTCCCTCCCGACACACTTCAACAACATATTAGTCAGTAACTCATAATATAATGTCTCCCTGCACAAAAAAGGGAATGATTAGGCAATGTTCATAGTAGTGGTAGTAGTTCCTATATACAGTAAGTCATAATGTAATGTCTCCCTCAGTCCCTAGTTGTGGTAGTAGTTCATGTATACAATATTTTTGGATGATAATACGATATCTATCAAATTGTTTTCGAATGATCGAGTGGTGTTTCAACTAGATGTTTTTTTGACTCGTGACTATTAAGCAAATGTTGAATGCGTCCAATTACTCATAATCACGCCCATCAACTCAATATGAAATTCGTTTAGATATTTTTTATTGGTAGTTCATTTTTTTCATCTAAATTATCTCATTCTTGTTGTCAAAATGGCAAGCAAATAGATAAATATGTTGGCATTCCTTGCTATTATTCTCCCTTGGTAAGAGACTGTGTGCTCAGCATTATATAACACCATTAAATTAAATAACGTATTAGGAAAAATAGTTTGTAATTAGACACCGGTCCAACACAACCAACCTAACAGATCAGTTGATTATTACTTTTTTTTTTTTTATCACCAATGCCATCGGTAATGGACTAAATAAGTCTTCCTACATGATTATGGTGCAAACTACAAACCCACGAGGTAAGTTGTCGGTGGGGTCCTCATGTTATCCACTGTGACTACACAACACGATCGTTAGAAGATGCCTATGGTAGTGGGGAAAGTATGCACCATTACTATTTTTTATAGTAAAATTATAATTTTAAAAAGATAAATTATAATTGTTTAACGAATGGTCACGATTAATTACAGAGACTCATATTTGGTTATATTCTTTAAAGTTATAACTTACACATAAAAAAAGTTATAATTTTTGGTACCATTGACGGTACCGTGGCCTTTCTTTAATGCTCCATTTTATACGAGACTTTCTATAATTCAATGAAAAAAAATAGGAATAATATATTTTCCTTTCCTAGTGTAACAATCGAATCGTTTCATATCAGGTTCGTGTCAAGTCATTGTGGATTTGTGTCAAACATAACTCAACTCATTTAATTAATAGTGTCGTGTTGAGTTAACTTATTTATTTTTGTATCGTATTCGTGTTCATATTCGTGTTGACCTACATAAATTTCGAATAAAAAATTTAACGCTAATATTTTACTTAATTCCATACTCATATTTTTTTTACAAACTAAAAATAAATTAAATAAATATAATAATAATAATAATAAGTAAAAATATTTTTTTTAATAATAATTATGTCAGTGCCTAATAGATAGTTACAAATAATTAACATTTTATATCTATAATACTAGTTAAAATGTTTAATTTCGTATTACCATACAAATAAGAAAATAGAAAAATTATTTATTTTATAATAAATAGGTTGATAATATCAATTTTGGATTTGACGGGTTGAACTAAAGATGAGCCGTTTATATTTCGTGTTCGTATGTCAGGTCATTTTGTAAGTTTGTGTCAAGTTATAATCAAATTCGTGTCATAAAATTTGTGTCGAGTTTGAGTTATATTATCGTGTTTAGTCAAAAAATTTTACTCCTAACTAAGATGGAAAAAATATATATTTTATTTTATTTATTTTAAAAAAATATAAATACATATTTTATTATTGTATTTATATATGAAATTAATGTATATAATATATATATATATATATATATATATATATATATATATATATATATATATAAATAAATTTATTTCAACACAAATAATTAACTTTTCATCAACTTTTTTTCTGATTTTAAAGGAATTAATTTTGGTGAATTGAAAAGAAAACTCATCCATCTATTTTTTTTATTCTTCTTATTTTTCTTATCTACTTAATATAATATTTTATTTACTTTTCAATCTTTTAATTTTTTATCATTTTATTTTTTAAGTACATTAGTGCTGTCCCGGTCTGTGATCGGACTACCGATCGATAATTTCTCAGGATAAAAAGTCAAGTGGGTCCCAATGTGTTCCCTACCCAGTCATCAAAGTGGGGTCCACGGGTGCCGTGCTTCTATGTGTTTTTAGATTTGTTTTGTCCGAACCTAGTAGAGTGTATGGGCGGGGGCGCCATAGACTTGGGATTGATTACAATTTTTTTTTTAATTTTTCAGACAAGAGGGATATTTGAGTCTATTTATACATATTTTGATTAATTTTTTTTCCATTCAATTAAAGATATGTAATTCACATTAAAATTAAAATATTTATGAAAGATAATTATAAAAAATTATCAAAATTTAAAATTAAAATGTCTAAATTTATAATTCGTTTATGTTATTATTTAAATTACCTTTTAAGTTGGGGATTGATTACATTGAATCACGGTGTTTGATTTGTCATAGGACATTGTAAAGCAGATTACACATTTTTTCCATCATATCAGGTGAGTTAGGTGTCGGCAAAATTAATAAATATATACATGAAGAATCATTATGCTATAGAAGACAAAAGCCCAAATATTCAATTCATCAATTATAAAATTCAAAAAATATATTATCCATACTTTTCCTTTAAAAAATTGTCGGCAAAAGACACTATAATCAGTGCGTGAAACTATAAGATTTAAAAACTATAAAACTCGTACTTACTGAAAAAAAAAATATTTGCAAGTGGCTTGAGGCTTAGTGAATTGCCTAGATGGCATGGTCGTTTATGAGCCGACTTGACCTATGTATGCAATGGTTCAAGACAATATATTAATACTATGATGAAGTTTAAACGAATCAAAAGCCTACCATGTATCACTTTTACAAAAAGGTTTAAACAATCTCTATTCGGAAGAAAGGTATGATATGATTTCAAAAAAAAAAAGGAAAAAAGAAAAAAGGAATATGGAAGTTCAAAATAGTTTATTAGTGCTTGGTGGATGAGCAAGTGATAACCATGGTTACAATGTGGATTTCAAGTGACTTCCATATAGGAAAAAAGATGCCAATGGGACCTAGCAGGGCGGAGCTACCCTTGGGTTAAGGTGGGCACATCCCCCTCAATATTTTTTTGGATTGATATTAGGTATGTATTTCTTGAAATAAAATTTAGACATATTTAATTGTAAATACCCTAATATTGTGTTTTGATTATATCGATTTGAATAGATCCCTACCTAAATAATTGTTAACTTTTTAAATAATATAATTGAAACTTAATTTAAAGATCTAGCACATTGAAATATTAAGTATAATAGTGAGTTTTAATATTTAATGAACTCTGATATCTATCAAATGGTTACAAACCATTGGTCTCCATCAATTAAATCTCAAATTAGGTGCAACTAATATTATAAAAATGTATATTGTTATGTAGTAAATTATAGGATCATAAATCAAAGATTGTTACCGCAATTTTATATATAAAATAAATATTGTCAATAAAATTAATTTGTAACTCTTTCAAATAATAAAAATATTTTAGGGTCAATTGTAAATAATAATAATTAGTCGGATTATCGATAAGAAATTTTAATTATTATTTTTTTTTCATGTATATCGATTTTTAATTTTCAATAAATATAAAGTTATGAACTTCTACAATCTATTAAAAAAAATTAAAACACGTTAGTGTATCCACCCTAAAAAATTTTCTCTGTCTCCAGCTCTAGGGCCGACCTAGAATTTTTAGTGACTTTTACTTTCTATAGTCAACATGCTTCTCATTCTCCCAAAGGTTGAGAATTCCACCACTCCTCAAACCAGGTAAAAATGCCCCTCCATGCAAGTTTGTTTACTTTCTATTGATTATTTGCGATAGGACTTTGTGGTTGTAAAATATTTTTTTGCAGAGCCGTCTATTGTGGCTGAAAAAATGCCGTCGTCGCAAAATAATATTTGCGGCGATAGATATATTTTTTGCTCGCAAAAAATCTTTTTTCTTGTTAAATAACTCATACACTCATTAGTAATAAATAATTTGTTAACAAAAAAAATATATTGTAGAAGATATAGACAATTGATGCAAATCTAAATCAATTCTAATTTTAAAATCCTATAGGGTCCCATTAACTTAATGGTTGCCCATATTGTCCCTGTGAGGTCTTGGGTTCCAGTCCCACCACCTATAATTCTTTTTAACTTTTCAAAAAAATTTATATTTAATTTGGAGAAAGTAATCCTTGATGCTAGATTAATTACTTTGAATCTAAGTAAAATCTACTATTTTTAAGTGGGTTTTCCACTATTATTCGGTGAATAATTCAACATTGAGAGAAACGAGAAAATCTAGCTCTGAAGTGACAGTAATTTTTTTGACTTTAATCACCACTCACCATTATAAGCTAAAAAGTTTAATATTATTGGTGACATTTAAATTCTATGGTACACACCTTACACATGATATCCCCCAAGGGTGATGATTTAATGTGGCAGAGTTATGACCATGGTAGATTGGGTTATATTTCTTATAAACTTGATTAAAGCATAAGATGAACATGACTTCATTATGACATAATATACAACCCTAGTAATTTAATGTTGTCACGGACTAGTATAAACTTCGTTTCCTGTGCTATACTATATAACAAACACATTTGAGGTTGAGCATAACGATATGACTCTTTAAGAACAATGAGCGGAGAAACATAATGTAATGTAACCTGTTGTTTGAGTATATATATTTTTTTGGTATTACGATAATAGTGTTTGATCAATTTATACTTTTTAATTCAGTTAAAAATAGATTATTTACTTTATATATATATACATATATATATATATATATATATATATTAAAATTAAAAAATTACTAAATTTTAAAATCCCGATGCCGTAAATTTATAGGTAGTCATACATGGAGGTAACTTGGGTTGTTGGTTATTTGTATGTATGCCGGCGCATATAAAATTAAAGTGGACATTAAATTCTAGTGAGAGTAGGGATGTTCAAATTTTCGATCGATTGCAAGTTCTTATCCAATTTGACCTTACTGAACGGCTAGCCGTAAAAATTGGGTAGGAATACAGAATAGTTATCCATTTTCGCATTCTTACCCTATCCTATCTACAATAATTTTTATATATATACAAATTAAAAAACTAAAAAAATCATAAACTCTAGCGGAGCAATTATGATTTTAATGTATTTTATATGGTTTAAAGTTTAAACTTAAATTAATTGTTATTATATTTGTGTAACAATTATGGTGGATTGATGTTCATACTTTCTTATGTTTTATTATAATTCTTGTTGTAGTTGTTTTAGATTTTAGTATTAATTAATTTATTTTGTTGTTAAATTAATGCATATTATTTAATTAAATTATTAAAATAATTCAAAAATTAATTGTTACAAAAATATTTATCCGACTTCTTACCCGATTAAGCGGGTAGGAAATCGGGTAAAAATACCACATCTATAAGATATGATAGACAAAAAAAAAATTCTTTCGTAAAATATCGAATAGGAATACGGAAGTAAATATTTTTTATCGATTACCCCTAATTAAGAGGCCGAAGGGTTTTGCCGATCATTCCACCATCTGACCTCTGAACCGACGACCAACAGTCTACTCGCTTTCGCTCAAGGAAACAAAGGACTCTGCCGGTTCTTCACCTGCATCTGAATTTTGATCAATTGGACACCTGTCCTACATCAGATGGGTCAATCTTTTGAATTGACTCTCATAGTCAAGATTCAATAACCCTAGGCAACCCCAATAACCATGACCATCTCTCTCTCTCTCTCTCTATTTATTTGACCTTTTCATTCTTCACCTTTCTCTATGTTTCTACCCCCTCTATTGTCTCCTCTTCTCCTTTATTTTTCTGTTTCTAAATATACCATCATCTTTATCATTTCTTCATCATCTTTTTGCCTGCAACTTTCATGGAGGTTTGTCCTGAAAACTCTAAATGTTTGGAGTTAACCATATCCGTACCAGGCTTTTCTTCATCTCCATCTCTCCTGCCCTCCAGTAAGCAACGAATTATAAGTTTCTCTCTCTCCCTCTCGATATATATATATATATATATATGTATATGTGTATTCTTTATAGATTCCTCTATTCTTCTTCTTCTTATTTTTTCTGGGTTTTTCGGGTTTGATCGGTGTTTGGCCCTTTTCAGATCATACATGTTGGTTTTCTATCGAGCACAAATTTCAGAGATTATGGCGTCGCCATTGAAGTAAAACTTTTATGATGTTACAAGTCATTCTAATTTTATTTTAAATGTCCTTTCTTGCATGGCGCTTCTTATGGTCAATTTTCTCTGATCCATTTTTCGGGCCCAAACATGATTGATAATTAATGGATGATCTATATCAAATTCTTATATATAGATATGGGTTTAATGTTTACTGTTTTATGTACTAATTTTGTCTGAATATCACAAAATATTAATGAAGGAGAAGGTAGTGGTCTAATGAGAGGTTTGGACATAAACCAAGTACCCTCAGGAGCAGAAGAAGAATCCATGGAAGAAGAAGATGATAGCCCCAATGGAGGTCCTCCCAGAAAGAAACTCCGTCTCACAAAGGAACAATCTCGTCTCCTTGAAGAAAGCTTCAAACAAAACCTCAGCTTGAACCCTGTAACTGATCTCTCTCTCTCTCTCTCTCTCTCCTGTGTGTGTGTGTGTGATATCCATCAATTTTTTGAGGCATGTCTTGATGCAGAAACAAAAGGAGGATTTGGCAATGGAATTGAAGCTAAAGCCACGGCAAGTTGAGGTCTGGTTTCAAAACCGTAGAGCAAGGTACTGTACTGGACTTTTACAAACGTTGAATTAAATGATGTATTTGCCCCCTCATAATGGTGTTGGTTGTTGGGATTAAAGTTGCAGAGAACATTAGATGTACGTTCAGAATATGACCAAGTATATAATCTGAATCTGATTCTATCCTTAAAGTAGACAGATTTTTCATTTATTAATGGTACCCATATATTATATATAGTACCACCATGTCGATAGTTGAAGGAAGGTCAATGATTTAGGTGCCCAATTGTTTTGGCAAATGGGACACAAGAGGGACCAATTGCCCTAAATCTGGTGCAAAAGGTAATGTGTACTTTAGGAGATGCAACACACTGCATAGATCCTTTGTAGTGCATTTATGCAAGTATTAATACACTTTATCATGTTACTATGTGTATTTGTATGCTACGTACTAAAAAAATCTTTTTTTGTGCATGCATCTATACATAAAAATATTTTTGTATGTGTGTGTGTGTGAGAGAGAGAGAGAGAGTGAAATAAAATTATTTTAGAAAGATAAAATTAAAGCAAGATTTTTTGTGGTGGTTTCATTTTGGTTCATTGTGGTTTAGTTGGGTTCGCATGAAACTATATTCAACTCAAATAATTTTTGATATATCCATGCAGATATGCATACTTATAACAAGTTTGTGCTGAACATGATCATCTGATGTTTAATAAACATCAGGTCATGACTCGAATGAATGCCAGTTTAAGCAGATTGTGCTGCCCCTCCATGTCCTCATATGTCGATTAATGCAGTTGTTAATCTAATCAATTGCTTGTAGGTAGTTACAATTTACAATTTAATATCAATTTTATGTTACATGTGACTCAACGTACGGAGGAAGAAAGCTGTAAAGGAAAATTTGCGGTTAGTCGAATTAAATAATGAGCTACAATTTAGGGTTGTCAATGAGTGATCATATCTGGTCATGTTTCCAGACTACATGTTTGCTTAATTTATACTTGTCTCATTTATAATTGTGTATAAGAAGGTTCGTAGTGTATTTGACTCATTTATAATTGTGTATAAGAAGGTTCGTAGTGTATTGATTTCGTGTCGTATATAAGTTTTGTTTAATTAAATTTGTTTTATGTTTAATTAAGTTCATGTTGAACGTCTATTTGTCGAATTTAATGAGTTTATCTATTTATCGCCTGAACTAAATCTAAACTCATTAAATTTATATTGTTTTTGTGTCAAGTCGGCATGTCATGAGTAAGCCTAAGTAACATTTTCATAGGTCAAATGTACGAGATAATTGCAGTATTTATGAACCAAAAGGTAGGAGTAATAATTCATTGTTATCACTCTTTTGTCCAGTAATAATTACAAGCACATTTTTCTTCATGAATCTGCATTTCTGGAGTCAGTTAATGCTTGATATCGTATTGATGCAGTGAAGTTGTACTTCAAAAACTGGTAAAAAAAAAAGCATTTACAAAGCTCACAGTGTAAGCAGTAAAGGATACCCTGGCTAGTTAAGCCTGGTGGAAAAGTTATGAAGTAGAGCTTTCATAAAAGGCAGTAGCTCATGTTCATGGCCACCTGATCTATCACATCCTTCGTCTTGAGTCGTAAAAATGAACCAATCCAACAGATATTTGTATGTCACATGCGTGTTGAAAGATAAGACAGATGTATGACACAATTTGCCTCATTGTCTGTCCATCAAAATGAGTAGGCAAACACTTATCGGGATAGCGTGTGTCTGTCCAACTATGCCAATATGAGAAAAGAACCGAAAATAGGATGATTTGGCCATTTTTGAAATGAGTTCTTCTAATACAGAAGCTTAATGGTTACTTTGTTGATTCGGTTGTTGCTCTGCTTGGTTTAGGCCCTTGATAGAGAGATCTTAGATTTCAATAAATGATTAGACGTAATAGGGAATTGAATTGCTTCTTTCAAAACTAGCCCTTCTTGGTCGAAGTACAAAGATTCAAATCTAAGTAGTTCAACGTTGGTGACACCGAAATTTGCTCTTGAGGCTGTAGTTTACGATGCATCACTTCCATATAGCGAGGGAAGATCTTAGGTCTTCTTATTCCACCGAATGGGAAGGTCTTGGGAATGTAGTACCTTGAGCTTCTGTATTGAAGTCTCTAGTTTACAGAAAAAAAAAACTAGTTTATGAGTATTTGCATGCATTCGAAGTTTATATTTATCCATCAATCCAACTGACATGTAGTTGAAACGATTATTGATTATCCCAAAAAAAAAAGTAAATAACAAACGGCCAATCATCGTCATTGAGACCAACTAGCAACATTAAAATGACAAGATAATGAGAAAAAAAAAATTGAAGTCTTCACTTCATAGATAAATTAAGATGCTTCCTAAGTTTGTTTTACAATTTTTAATATTCTATTATTTGATACAATTTAGTATTGAAAATATAATAGGAGCAAGCTGAAGCATACAGAGATGGAATGTGCTTATTTGAAGAGATGGTATGGTTCACTGACTGAACAAAACAGGAGGCTACAGAAGGAGGTAGAAGAGCTAAGGGCCATGAAGGTAGGCCCACCCACCGTGATATCGCCGCACAGTCGTGAGCCCCTCCCGGCATCCACCCTCACCATGTGCCCTCGGTGCGAGCGTGTTACCACTAATGTTCCCTTCAAAGACCCCACAAGAACCACAATCACCACCACCGCGACCAACCACCCAGCCACCTTGTCTGCTAAAGTGCCTATATTTCACTCCCGACATCCTTCAACAGCATGTTAGTCAGAAACACATAATGCATGTAATGCCACAATGGAAAAAAAGGGAATGATTAGATAATGTTCATAGTAGTGGTAGCAGTTCATATATAAAATGTATTTGGTTAGTACAATGGTATCTATTTATATATTTTTTACGGTTAATAGTATTTTTAGTGCCAAAAATATGTATTATTTATTAGTTTAGTCTTTAGTGTATTAATGTTGTCAATTTAGTTTCTAAAGTATTCAACCTATGTTACTTTGGTCTTTAATCAGATAATCTGTCAAATTCTTTGACGGTCGTCATTTATTTTAGACTGTTTCGCATGTCTAACATGTGATTATTCCATTAAAATTTAACGATTTGTCTATGTAGATACTAAAATAATACGAATTGAATATTTTAAGGACCAAATTAATAAAATTGATACAATGAAAATTAAATTGACAAAAAATATATGTTTTAAGGACCAAAATAATATTAACCCTATTTTCTATGATCTAATTTAGCCCAACCACCCATTTTTTTGACTTGTGATTGATATGTATATTCTGATTGTTGTAAATTCACCAATAAAGCACACCCATCAAGAGTCAACAGGGGGAGATCTATTTAGATTTTTGTCCTTGGTACCACATTCTTTTCAACTTTGGCATCTTATTCTGTTTTTTTGGGAGTTGCCAAATGGCAAACACATAGACGAATATGTTGACATTCCTTGCTATTCTTCTACTTCCAAAGAGATTTTATTACCGCATTTAAAATGATTAATATTTCATGTATTTAAAAAATAAATTTGATAATCAAAATTATTAAATAAATAATAAATTTTAATAAATATTGAAACTCAATTAAAATCAATAATTATAATTAATAAATTTACTTTTTAAGTCCAAAAAATACGTATCAATACTGTTACATGTGTGGATGCTCTAGCCATTCGGGGAGAACAATAATCACAGAGATTAGTTAAACTTGACAAGACCCTAGCGTTTCAATTTATTAAAAAAATCAAGTGATATTATATTAGTTTTTTGGAACAAAAATTTGAAAAAAAACATGGGGACTCAAGAGAACAACCCACATGTGTACAATAAAGTAGTTTGCATTCAAAATTTAAACATTAGCCAAGTGAGGGGAATCATTATTTGAGGTATAGTGATTAATATCTTTTTTCGAACTCATTCTCTACTTGAATTTGTTGATAGATCTTCATTCTGTCCAGAAAAACACATTCAAGAAGAGAACAATTGAATCAAAGATTAATCCATTTTACAATGCTTGGATTGCACAAGATCAAGCACTTAATTATGACTGTCATCAATGCAACCTCATCGAGCACGGCACTGTCACATTTCATAGGATACAATACTTGTGAAGTTTGGTTGGCTCTAGAACGAAGATACTCCTTGATCTTGAAGATAGATCTTCAATCCGTCACCAAAGGATCCAATACAGTTGATTCATATATACAAAAGATCAAAGAAATTAGAGACAAACTAGTAGCTGTAGCACAGTACACATTGATGATGAGGATATCCTTAAGACTTCAATCTGCACGAGCTCTCACCTAAACCTGAATTTTGATCAATTGGACACGTGTCATACATCAGATGGGTCAATCTTTTGACTTGACGGCCATAGTCAAGATTCAATAACCCTAGGAAACCCCAATACCCATGACCATCTTCTCTCTCTCTCTCATTTATTATTCACCTTTCTCCATGTTCCTATCCTCTCTATTGTCTCCTCTCCTGCTTACTTTTTATGTTTCTAAACATATCATCACCTAATTAACTCTCTTTACGAGTTTTACTGCCCATTCTATTGAACATTTTTTTTTCTTATGATAGATTGTCTTATACTTTTTATTGTTTTACATCATTTGTCTTCTCTCATTCTGTTTCTCACACTGGTTCATGAAGTGCTTGTTCATCCCATGATGTCAAGCAATGAAAGAGGAACTCATTGCTCTACATGAGAACTAGACTTGGGAACTCGTTCCTCTTCCTTCTGAGAAGAAATTAGTTGGTTGCCGATAAGTGTATGTTACTAAGTACCTGCCTAATGGTTCCATTGTGAGATTAAAAGCTCGAATGATTGCCAAAGGTTTTACTTAGACATATGGTGTGGATTATCCTGAAACCTTTTCACCCGTTGCCAAGATCTCACTTGTTTGGGTTATTATCTCTCTAGCAGCAAATTTTCAATGGTCATTGTTTCAGTTAGATGTCAAAAATGCTTTTCTATATGGTGACATAACTAAATAAATTTATATAAAACAACCACCTAGGATTGTTGCTTAGGGGAGTCTAGTGATAAGATATGTAAATTAAAGAAAGCAATATATGGCCTAAAACAATCATCTCAGAGCATGGTGATTGTTTTGATTAGTTAATATTAACTATCAGATTAATTTACAGTAAAATTTGAAATGATCTCAACCAAGAAAAGTAAAAATTATTTTTTATGTCTTAAATCTTTGTATTTTATTATATAGAAGATTATAAATATCTATACTACTTTAAAATATTAGCATATATGAAAAACATTTTTTTTCACTTTTACCCTCTAATACTACAACTATGCAATACTTATCCGCCAAATTTATCCTTATATTAAATATCAATATTTACTGTACATTGAATAGACCAATTACCGGTTACAATTTGATCCTACTTTAAGTTTTCTAGATCGGCTGCAAACCACAGTGTGATGCTACCAACTCTCACAATAAATTCTCAATATCCCTTCATCTACTGGTTCTCATCTTTATAATGGAGAGGTGGATAACATCAACTCATGCAATATTAGTGTGTGTTTATCAGGAGATTTCAAATCAAGAGTAGTGATAAATGACGACGACGACAATATTGTTGTGCCCTACGGTGGAGCAGAAGCACATTCATTATATTGAAGGAATTGTGTTTGCTGAAAATTTGCAGTTTTCCCAGGATTGTGATTCTCATGTCGACGCTTAGAACATAAGCTCTATTGTGCTAAAAGAATTATTGTCGAACCTACTCCATCTCCGCATATGGCCACACCAATTGCTTGTCGTCCTCCATACAACTAGCCCTTTCCAATCCGCCATCGTCTTCATTCACTTCTCTATTGGTACACATTTTTATATTATACGTAATGTATCTTGAATGTTATTAAATGAGAATTTAATGGCAATCTACAATTTGTTGGTTATTTTTGTTTTTATTTTGGGTTTTTGGGAAGGGGTTTGTATGATTTGTTGTGGAATAAGGGGTTTGTGTGATTTT